GTCACCCGTTTCTGCCGGGATCCCGATGATGTGGATACATAACGATCGAGTTACCGCGTCCTTCGCTTCCAAAGCGGAATCCGCAGGGCGGAACACGAGGGTCAAAGACCGACCGTGGATGGACGCGCTTTAGAGCCACCTTACGGGCAGCTTCAAGCTGCCACCTCTGTTCCCCGTTGAGGTCATTGGTGATTACACCACGTGCCTCAGTTGACGAGAAGTCAGGGAACGGACAAGGGGTCCGCAAGAAGTACTTTTAGAGGCAGCGGATTGTGATCCGCTGCACTAGTACTTGGTTCTTGTATAGAACGAAAGGTCGGTGACCTAAAGACGCTTCCTCAAGCGCAAAGCTACGGCAGCCCCGCTGCAACTTACCTATATCGAGACTTCATATCCTTTTCGTGGCCTTGCCTTGGCAATATTCATCCTAAACAATTTAATAACCATGGATTCTGTTGGCGTCATTTTACTTTGTCATGCCCTTAATTTTTATCCAGTGAATAACAAAATGGTGCGATGTGTACTTAAATCGTATGTAATCTGCACATTGCGTTGCGGTATGTTTGCTCAAATCTGTTTTATATGTACTGCTTTTGTATATTTCGGCAGGCCCAAGTCAAAATTTCTGCAAAATTATTGCATTTCAGGCAAACTTTCAGAAGTCATTGTCACCTGGTTAGCATGTGTCTTGCTATTATTTATTTGATCCATATGCGATAATTAATAGACGCAAGACAGGAAGCCATTTGTTATTTTACTACTACACATTAACTTTTTTACCTAGTAGAGGTAATCAAGTACGACCAGCACTAATGTCGTTATCGTTTATCTCGTCCAAATCATCTTCCTCGTAATCATGTCTTTCTGTTCCAGGATTTGCCGAAACCTCGGCAGTATCAAGTTCACTGCTTTGATCTCGAAGAAGAGATTGTTCGAAATCCAGGTCGTCATCGTCTTCAGCAACAATTGCACTAGCTTCAGCAAAATTCTCATCTGCTTTGACTTCCTCCTTGCAATCTGATGCGTGGACGTTTTGCTGGGCTTTTGACCGACTAGCAAGTTCCTCAGCAAAATCACGAAGCGCCTGTTTCTTCAGTCCGATTAGGCGCTTGCGTCTCGTTTCAAGCTCGGTATTGGAGCGACCCACCATTGCCGCAATGCGTAGACGAATTATCTCGCGCAGAGGAAGAAACATCTGCGTGGGATACCAACCACCAAGTAGTGACGGCGTCGATTGTCTTTTGAACTGCGATATCCACTCCCACACCTCATCATCGTCAATTTCGTCGAGCTGAAACAACACGTTTGGGCTAGCCAATTGCACACCAAAAATTTCAAATAACTTGTCGTTCTTTTCTAAAGTGGCCTCGGATGTCGTCCCATCGTCAGCTCTTTCAGGCGCTCCGTTGGACTCCCTGTCCGAGTCCATACTATTCTCAGAATCTCCAGGAGAAAGCTTGGGATTAGCCCGAGGAGCAGTAGGAACAGTAGGAACAGCTGAAGTAATTGATCCTGGTTTTGTGGGCTCTACAAGGTACGACCGTCTTGTTTCCCCACGAGTAAATCGCTCCTTTCGTCGGCGCTTGGCAACCTGCGCATTTTCAAATGCAGACGTTTGTGTGACTTTAACAATTCGTGGACCTTTCACGTGACCACTCTCTTTGTTTGCATTTCCTGTACTGGTACCCGCAAACTTCTTAATGCGCTTTCTGGAAGCATGGGTAACCCTCGAATGGACAAGCTCACGGTTGTTTCGCAACTCAACAACTTGATACCGCGAAGCTGACTCGGAATTATCAGGCTGTCGTGGATCGTATCCCATCTTGATCCATGAGCCTCTCCACGGTCCATCAACAAACACATAACACAGTTTTCTTAAAAGGCGTCGGGCTGCCCGACGTTCAACGGCATCAAGCCCATCGAACAGCTTTGAGCGGAGCCATATCGGCTTTTGTTCTAACTTAGCCTGCAGAATCTGTATCACGCGAGCATCCACACCATGATCATCTACTCCCACCGATCTCCTACGCATCACTGGCTTTTCAGGCTTAGGCTCATTCGGCGCGGGCGTATCATCTTGAAAGTTAAGATATGTCATAGTACTTGACGTCTTCTTCGCTACTGTTGTCGGTTTGTACCCAGATCTCTGTCTAAACTCGTATTTGAGAGGCAAATCAACTTTAGAAAATACCTCAGGGATCAGCTCGAGCTGTGTCTCGTGTTTCACTGCTAAGTATGGTCGCAAACTGTTCTGTAATTCTTTCTGACGTCGGGATGGCATGGACAGCGGCCCACTCTCCACTTGTGCACGATTTGTTGCAGCCATTTCCACTGCATCCGTCGCGTGATCCACTACTGTATTCGCTTCTTTGTCTAGTTTTAATGTCGGGTAAAACGACCGTGCAGTAAAGTATTGAAAATCAGCCATGCCTTCGCACACATACTTTTCCTTCACAAGCCCAGCCACTGTGACCTTAATTCGGTATCCATCCGCCGTAACTACTTGCGAATTCTCTTTTGCATCCTGAATCTGCTTGGAAGGCGCTTTACGCCTACGCTTAGGCCGCGAGCGTGTCACCCGCAGCAAAATCATCTGTGTCTTGGTCAGGTCTGCAAATAATGGCTTACACGAAGGCTCTGACGGACGCAATTTTACCGGAAGAAATTGGCTCTTTGTCTCGTGCGCCATTTGAAGACTCGATAATCCATTTACCGTCTCTAAGACTTTGCACATGTCGGAACCGTACAGGGGTAGCTCCAGACCTACTAATGGACGAACGCCAACACCCTGCAGATCAAGTTTGTGACGTACGATCAAATTCACACTGTCATCTTTATCTGTAATAACAGTAGTGTTAGTCTCTGTAGGTTGCGGAGCATCAGATATCTCATCTGTCGGCGGCTCGTCAGCCATAGCTTTAATGCGATGAATATTTTAGTTGGTTCAAAAAGTATTAATTCTTGGTAAATTTATGTTTCTTTTGATTAGTATGTGTTTCTTTCACTTACATTATATTTCATTTCATATAAGATAATAGACGTCGAAACGAAAAGCTTATTTACACAAAAGCTTACGAACACAAAGCATAAATCTTCAATCACTTACCGCTGCTATGAGGTGTGATCACCAGATTTTTAAAAGTCTTGAAATTCATCAGCTTGAGAGCCTAATGAAAGGCAGTCGTCGCGCCGAATACGTTTAACGAGGTCGCCCGATGGAAGTTTAAGCGACATCACTGGCGCATTAGTAAAACCGTCATCAAAGTTGTCTGTAGATTCACAGCCGTGGCACGAAGGCACAATCGGTGGTGGTACCTGACGCTGGATTAGCTCGTCCCAGTTCACTGACAAGGTAAAAAATGGATGCTTCATGGCCTGTGATACTGTGAGACGACTATCGGAATTGACGCAAAGCAAACCCTTAAGCAGTGAAGTTGCGTGGCCAGAGAGATACGGTGGATACCATACACGGCCTTGCTGAATCAAACGAAAAAGCCGTTGGATATCATTGCATTGAAAGGGTGGTGAGCCAGTTAACAATTCGTATATAAAGCAGCCAAAGGACCACATGTCTGTCCCCATATCGTGTCCAGTCTTCTTGACCATCTCGGGTGATAAGTACTCGGGTGAGCCACAGAAGGAGTATGTACGCTGTCCAGGGACCATGTCCTGTTTAGCAAATCCAAAATCGGCCAGCTTCACGTGTCCTTGAGCATCCAGCAGAACGTTTTCAGGTTTCAAATCACGGTATACGATACCATTTCCGTGCAGCTCATTCAAGGCCGCAAGAACTTCAGCAGCGTAAAATCGTGTTGTGTTCTCGTCGAACTTTTGAGCAAATTGCTGCTGCAGATGAAAGAAGAGTTCACCTCCTTGGCAATACTCAAGCACAAAGTTAACATCGTGATCTGTTTGGAAAGCAGAGTAAAGCTTGACGATGAAAGGGTGGCCACTCAGTTTTTCGAGCACCTTCCTCTCCGTAAGCGTGTGTACAACTTGCTTTCGTTGTAGAAGCTTAATTTTATCCAAAGTTTTGATGACATAGACTTCGTGCGTCTTGCAGTGTCGGGCAAGCGCTACTTGACGCGCGAACGTTCCTCGACCAATCACTTTAATAAGTTTGAGCTGAAGGGGGTCGATGCCGGCAGCAGACTCACACTTAGGACTTGCAGAACTGCTCAAGGCAACTGTCGGTCTGGGAGTCATCAGATTGTCGGTCGCGACATCAGGCTCCTCGTTCAAAAGTCGCGTGGGCGACAATGGACGTTTCTTGGTGGAGCTGCCAATGTGCGAATCACTTGTAGTTTGTAAGGTCAGATCGCAGCGATCCGTTGACAAGGAAGGCAGCACTTCCGCCATACTACCTTAAAGCTCACCGTGGTCACAACACTAAGCGAGTGGTGGAAAGTGTAGCCACCTGGATCGCGTTTGAATTGAGCTCTACCAATCCAGAGCAATTGTGGCGCCACCCATGGTTTTGCCGTCTATTCTATGGACCAAGAACCCAACCCGCGGGAAAGACGTTCGCGGTACAGAAGCTTTTCTGTTCTGTGACGGTTTCTAATGTACGATAGTTACGATACGACAGTGACGTCAAAGTGATACTTTGCCCAATAGAAATAATTTAAATCAAGTTGGCGTCACTATCTGAAAAATGAGACAAAGTCATTTGCGACCTCCACTAATAACACGAGCTTCAACATGGCGAACCAGCGATCGATGGCCTCTGTCGCTAGTACGGTAAACTGCCTGATAATGCATTTGGTGACTAGATGCACCGGTTGAAACCGTCGTCGGTATGTCGAGCGTTGAAACTTCACCCAGTTTACCTTCTGAGAAACACTTCCTGCATTTTGCGGAACTTGAGATTTATCTATATTTAAACATCTCATTTATTTAAATTAATTTGAGAATTATGTGTCAAGTAATTCCGTGCCGAGGGTAATTAACATAAGCCCCGCTATACCTGCACCAACGCCTGTGGTAACCGTTTTGTCTCATCGGGCAGGAGCTTTGTTAACACTTTAACAGAGAAAAAAGCACACTCCAGCAACAAACCCGCACGTAATCGCACTCAGTGCGATTACGAGTGAACCTTCAGCGCATAAGTGAAAGGGGCATGTAACAGATGATGGTGTACGTATATTGTCACCTTTTTCCTTTTGGACTCGCAACATCGCTACAGTGGTGTTGCTGTACATTTTGCTTAGAGGAAGTCTGACTGAGAGTCCGCGTAAAAACTACGTAGAGGTTAGAGAAGAATCGAGAGCCTTGTAGCCGCACTATTAAGAACATGTACTTTCAAAATCTTTTCAATCGCGCGAATGCAAGCTGTACAATCGTGCAGAAGCCACATTATATTTTGGTTGAAGACCATGGGATATTTATGGGAAGAAAAGTACTCCTTAACGCAACGGGGTAGCCGTGCACTAAAGTCATAGACACCTTTGACAAGAAGAGTCTGTAAAAAGCGAACTAATCTTGTGTACTTAAACTACATCCTTTTGTACTAAATACAATACTGTGTAATTGTACGAGATTCACATTGCACTTTGGTTTAATTGGTAATCCCAATAAGTAGCAGTAGTGTTAGAAGAACAGCTATCAGCACACGTTGCGCGATCGAATCTCCGGACCATAGGA